AGGCGGAGGCGGAGGCGGAGGCGGAGGCGGAGGCGGCGGAGGAGGAGGAGGAGGAGGAGGAAGAGGAGGAGGAAGATGAGGAGGAGGAGGCGGAGGAGGAGGAGGAGGAGGAGGAGGAGGAGGAGGAGGAGTGACCAGGAGTGGCCCATGGGGGCCTCGTCCCTGCCCGCAAGGCCCCTGGCGTGCCGAAGGAACACGAGCCTTCGCACGCCAGGGCAGCAAGCCTGCGCAGGAGGAGCACGAGCCTCCGCACAGGCCACGCGCAGGCGGCTCCAGGCCCCTGCACTCAAGATGTGGAGCCCAGGAGTCGCAAGAGGATCACGTGCCTCTGCGTTGCCTGGGGATCGAAATGAACAGTTATAATACTCGCCTGGTCGCCTCTGGGGCCCCTTGTGGGCATGGGTGGCGACCTTGAGCAATACGTATTACGTTCTGCTGACCTTTCTTGGACCTTTGGGGCGGGCATGCCTTCTGGAGGTGCCTGCCACCAATACTGGCAGTGAAGCCGCAAACCATGCAACATAAAATATTCTCAGCAGTCCATTTCCAGACCTGGTGGCTGGGGTCTACTTTCCTGTTCCCAACCCACAGCTCCCCGACGACACGACTCACCGAGACCCCAGCCATGTTCGGCGTAGTCGCCGCCAGGTGTGCGGGCATGTGCGTGCAAGGGCGGCTGCAGGCTTGCTCGAGACTGGTGCTGGTGGTGATTTCACCACAGACCTGACACCTCCATCTGCCACCCAAAGCTCGAACAAACTTGTGAGAAGAAGCGCTGAGCGCACGATTCCTGCGAGAAGCCCTGAGGCGTGGGGCTGGTTGCGGCGTCCACTCCCCCGCCCAAGGGTCTACAGCAGCAGTGTCCTGAAGCGCTCTACGCGCCCTTCTCCGAACCAGCCAAGCAACAACATCCACCTCGTCAGTGCGATGCACTTGGCCATGCGCAGTGACTGACTCCCAACCTCTCTCAGCAGCTTGCGACGCACGCCCATCAGCCGCCGCATTGCCTATGGACCAGTAAAGCTGCTGCACAGTCTGGATGCCTCCTACCTCATCCTCCAGAAGAGAGGCCGTCCAACGCACGGAAATATCTTCGCCTCGGCCTGCCGCTGCTAAACGAATCCCGATCCACAAATCTCAATTATATTCTTTCGGGGCCTCCCTCCACCCTCGGCCTGACT